GCAGCCCCTCACCCTCCTGCAGCTCCTTATCCTCCCGCAGCTCCTCATCCTCCCATAGCTCCTCATACTCCTGCAGCTCCTCATCCTCCCATAGCTCCTCATACTCCTGCAGCTCCTCATCCTCCCATAGCTCCTCATACTCCTGCAGCTCCTCATCCTCCCATAGCTCCTCATCCTCCCATAGCTCCTCATCCTCCTGCAGCTCCTCATCCTCCCATAGCTCCTCATCCTCCTGCAGCTCCTCATCCTCCCACAGCCCCTCAGCCCCCTGCGCCCATCAGCCCTGCAGATGGGGACGGTCCAAGGAGGGGGAGATGGGACCCTCTCACCCTGCGCTGGGTGGGCAGCTTCTCCCCTGGGAGGAACCCCTTGCCCCTCAGCACCCACTTTGCTTGGTGCAACCCCTCCCTCCCTCCCACTGGGTTGCAGCTCCCCAGGGGGGGCCCCTGCAGGGTGCGGGGGTCTCCACGGGGCTGTTAACGTGCACGGGGGTCTCTGCTCTCCAGGAAGGAGGTGGGGCTGGACCTCTTCTTCCCCAGCCAGATGCAGGAGAACCTGAAGGTGAGGGACGTGTGTGGGCACACGGGTGCAAGGTGTGGGTGCAGAGGTACAAGGTGTGGGTGCACGGGTGCAAGGTGTGAGTGCACGGGTGCAAGGTGTGGGTGCAAGGGTGCAAGGTGTTGGTGTACGGGTACAAGGTGTGGGTGCACGGGTGCAAGGTGTGAGTGCACGGGTGCAAGGTGTGGGTGCAAGGGTGCAAGGTGTTGGTGTACGGGTACAAGGTGTGGGTGCACGGGTGCAAGGTGTGAGTGCACGGGTGCAAGGTGTGGGTGCAAGGGTGCAAGGTGTTGGTGTACGGGTACAAGGTGTGGGTGCACGGGTGCAAGGTGTGAGTGCACGGGTGCAAGGTGTGGGTGCAAGGGTGCAAGGTGTTGGTGTACGGGTACAAGGTGTGGGTGCACGGGTGCAAGGTGTGGGTGCAGGGGTGCAAGCTGTGTAAGCACACACGGACGCAGCTGGGGGTGCTCATGCATCGAAGCGCACGTGTGGATTCGCACATGTGTGTGCAGCCCCCCTCACTTGTGCAGGCGTGCAGTCATGCTCACACATGTGAGGATGTGTCTGCACACCCCCCTCCGTGTGTGTGCGCATGCACGCACATATGGGGCCAAGTGCGCGCATCAGCCGTGCGCGTGTGGGTTTGCACGCGTGGGTATGTGCACATCTGCCCGTGCTCGCGGAGCTTTGCACGCCGTCATGCAGGTGTGTCTGCCTGTGCACGGGCATTCAGACGCCGGGCCGGGTCTGCTCCTGTGAGCACGGGTGGGTTTGCCTGTGCAGGCGTGCCTGCTCACACGCGTGGTGGTGGCTTTGCGTGCACACGTGTGCATGCATATGCAGATGCATGCGTGCCGGTGCAACTGCTCACACACGTGGTGACACATGCATGCACGCGCATCTGCCCACACTTGAGTGTGTGTGACACGTGTGGACATGCACGGGTGTGCACGCAGATGCATGGGCGCATGTGCGGGTGCATGCTCATATTTGCAGGTGGGTGCATGCCTCCATGTCTCTGTGTGCATGCATGTGTCTGGGTGTGTGCATGTGTCTGGGTGTGTACATGTGTCCGTGCGTGTGCACGTGTCCGTGCGTGTGCATGTCTCCATGTGCGTGCATGTGTCCGTGTGTGTGCATGTGTCCACGTGTGTGCATGTGTCTTTGTGTGTCCATGTGTCCGTGCGTGTCCATGTGTCCGTGCATGTGCATGTCTCCGTGCATGTGCATGTCTCCGTGTGCATGCATGTGTCCATGTGCGTGTATGCGTCCATGTGTGTCCATGTGTCCATGTGTGTCCATGTGTCCCTGCGTGTGCATGTGTCCGTGTGTGTCCATGTGTCCGTGTGTGTCCATGTGTCCGTGTGTGTCCATGTGTCCGTGTGTGTCCATGTGTCCCTGCGTGTGCATGTGTCCGTGTCTGTCCATGTGTCCGTGCCTGTGCATGTGTCTGTGTGTGTGCATGTGTCCGTGTCTGTCCATGTGTCCGTGCCTGTGCATGTGTCTGTGTGCATCCATGTGTCTGGGTGCGTGCATGTGTCTGTGTGTGTGCATGTGTCCACGTGTGTGCATGTGTCTTTGTGTGTCCATGTGTCCGTGCGTGTCCATGTGTCCGTGCATGTGCATGTGTCCGTGCATGTGCATGTCTCCGTGTGCATGCATGTGTCCGTGTGTGTCCATGTGTCCGTGTGTGTCCATGTGTCTGTGCTAGCGGCCACTTTGCCCACAGCCCAAGCAGTTTCGGAAGATGATCCAGCAGACCTTCCAGCAGTACGCGCTGCTGCGGGAGGAGGAGTGCATCCTCAAGTTCCTCCACACCCTCGCCACCTTCGCCAACATCGACCAGGAGAGCTATCGCTGCGAGCTCATCGTGAGTCCCCGGGATGGGATGGGATGGGATGGATAGGATGTGATGGGGTGGGATGGCATGGGGTGGGATGGCATGGGATGGGATGGGATGGATGGGATGGGATAGATGGGATGGATGGGATGGGGTAGGAGCACGTCCCGCTGTGGGCTGCTCCCTGCCGCAGTCCCCGGGCTCGGAGAGGAGCTCGGCCACGCTGAGCTCAGGGAAGACCCCGTGGGGAGTTTCCAAGGCTTGGAAATCACTTGCTGTCCCCCAAGGGAGGCACAACCCCAAAATCTCCCAGGGAGGGGTTGCTGATCCTGCAGCCCCCTGGCATCACCTCCCCGCGGGGAGGCTGAGCATCTCCCCTCCCTGCAGTGGGGGGAGGCCCTGGGGGGGCCTTTTTGGAGGATGCTGATTGCTGAGAGGGGCTGGGGGTGCAGCGGGGGCTCTGGGGACCTTCCCTCTGGGAAGGTGATTTTTTTCCCAGGGTTGGGAAAACACATGGCAACAGGATGGGGGGCGGTGGGGAGCTGGCTCTGGGGGTCCCATCCCCCCCCTAAATTTGCATCCTCTTTCTGCTGCCCCCCCCAGCAAGGGTGGAACATCACGGTGGACCTGGTCATCGGACCCAAGGGCATCCGGCAGATGACGAGCAAGGAGGCCAAGGTACGGGGTGGGGGTGTTTGGTGCTGGATGGGGGATGGCGGGGATCCACCTACTCTGCTCCAGGACTGCATGTCACCCCTTAATGTGCATCAGAGGCAGCTCTGGCTCATAGTCCTTCAGGGTTGGGTGGGGATGGTTGGGGGGGGGTGCCCTGGGGGCTGGGGGGGGATCCCCCAGTGCCGGGGGGGGGGGTCGCATCCCGGTGGGTTAGGCAGGATTTGGTGGATGGATCCCTTCCCTTCCCCCGAGAGAGCTCCTGCCTCCCAGGAGGGGGGGACTTGTCCCCCAAAACAGGGCAGGTCCAAGGTGCCCCTGCCCCAAGGGTGGTTTGGTGCCCAGCGTGTCCTGGGGTGCTGGGGAAGGACGATGCTGGAGAAACTGGGATCCGCTGCAGAGCAGGGAGCTGGTTACTGAGGTGGAGAGAAGGGGGGGACGGGACACCCCCATCCCAGCATCCCCCAGCTCTGGGGTCACCCGTCCCCTGTCCCTGCCGTCCCCCCCAGTCCCTGGCTATCAAGACAGCATCTCTGGCCGAGGCGGAGAACATGGCCGACCTCATCGATGGCTACTGCCGGCTGCAAGGGGACCTGGAAACCTCCCTCATCGTCTTCCCCAGCAGAGGTGAGTGCCCTGGGAGGGGGGGGCACCGACCCCGGCAGCCGTGTCCCCCCATGGAGCCCGTCTCCGCTCCC